AGAGGGAACCAGGCTGGGCAGAGGGGGCCAGGCTGGGCAGAGGGAGCTGGGCAGAGGGAACCAGGCTGGGCAGAGGCAGCCAGGCTGCTCCTCCTGGCTCTCTGGGCTCTCTGAGCCATCAGCTGCTGCTGCCCCTCCCTGCTGGTCCCAGACCTGCACACACAGAGCAAGGCTGAGGTGTCCCTCCCATACAGAGCTCCAGTGGGACATCAGGGGATGCTGGTCTGAAATCCAGCCATGGGCAAAGCCCAGCCCAGCCAGCCCCAGCTCACCCAGTACACCTGAGCCTGCTGAAACCCCTGGGGGGGCTTTAGCCCTGTTCTCTGCAGAAGGCCAAGTGCAGGGCAAGCAGGGACTCCTCTGGCCCTAAACTTCTTTGCCTGTGATGCCTGCAAGGATATAAATGTGTAGAGATTCACTGATTAGGCAGAAGTTTGGCCCCACACAAGGATTTAAATGTGTAGAGGTTCACTGGGTAGGCAGAAATTTGCCCCTCCGTGTTTTGGTACCCATTTTTTTCAAGAAGTTGATCAAAGGCATTTTCTGCATCAGCACTGAAAACACCCCCCATTACTTTGTGCATTTTGATCAGAGTTCAGTGTCTGAAATATCTGCTCGATCCCCAGGGGAGGGGATGAGGGATGAGGGCAGCTTTCAGGCAGGATGGATCAGAGCCTTTTTTTAGTCATTTTGGCTCAATGGAAGCATGTTTTTTCACTGGAATGGGAAGATTCCATGTAAGCACCTCAGTTTCAGCAGTGCTTTTTCAGGAATAACTTGAAAAGCAAGAGGAGAGACATGTTGGTGTCTCAAGGTGATGGAACCCTTGTTTTGCATGATTTAGGAATACATTTTCTGTCCTTCTGCTGATAAAGCAGGGAACTTACAACCACTCTATCCTGCCCAGCCAGGCAGGCAGAGGGTCCAGGCTCTCTGGCAGCACTGAGAACATTCTGGGCTGGGGGGAAAAGAAATAGAAAAAAGACCCAAAGACCTGCATCCAGCTTCCCTGCAGCACGGCCTCTCCTTCCAGCCAGCAATGGGCATTTCAGCATGATTCCAGGAGGTGAGACCTTTCTCAACACCTTGTTCCAGTCCAAACCCTTGGAATTTGCCACCACACACAAAAAATGATGGTGGGTGCACCCAGCAGCACCCCCAGAGCTGTCGGGTTGCTCACAGCGTGGTCCCAAACCAGCCCCCCCTGTGCAGTGACTGGACATCAGTGTGTGCTTGTCCTGGTGTCTGTGAATGTCCTCAGCACTCTGTGCTTGTCCTGGTGTCTGTGAATGTCCTCAGCACTCTGTGCTTGTCCTGGTGTCTGTGAATGTCCTCAGCACTCTGTGCTTGTCCTGGTGTC